TGGGAGAACATATATACACATGCATGGGAGAGGATGTGCATGTGTGTGTACATATATGTGTCTAAGTGGGTGACCATGTGTGTGAATGCCTGTGAGCCTGCACATGTGTACAAGCATGCATTCATGTGAGTGGGTCCATAGGAGGAGCAGGGCATGGTGAGTGAGCCTCTCTGGAGGCCCAGTCCTGGTGGAGTATCCGATGACTGACTCTGTGCAGGCAATGTGGGCAAGTGTGTCAAGCTGGTTTTCCTGGGTTGCTATGGAAATTTGTGGTAAGGCTGACTTCAGACACCTGGGGCAGAGTGTCACTGAGGCAGAACTGTCTGTTTTCTTGCTGCTTCATGTACTCTCCATGGCCAGGCAAGTGAAGGACAAAGCAGCTAGCCTGAGGTTGTTTGCAGTCCCTCTTCAGGCCTCCCTGCCTGAAAGCTGGTGCTTGTGGCAAGGCCTTCACCCCCTAAGCACAAGTCACCTTTCCCCTGGACATGTGAGTGGCCGATGAAGTTTGGTGTCTGTGAGACTCAGGTGCTGGAGTCTGGTGAAAAGGGAGGTGAGGCCTGGGGGAGAGGAATGTGTGGTCTGGATGTCCAGGGACTAGAAGATCTGTTGTTACTGTGTTCTAGGAGGGTTTCTTTTGTGTCTGGACAAGGGGTATTGAGATATGGAAAGGGTCTGAGGTCTGGACCCAGCGTAACCTAGCTGTGTGACCATTTCTCCAGGAAGGCTCTGTCAGTTGGATATAGGACTGGCCAGTTCAACAGAGTTCCCAATTCCTCTTTTAGTAAAAAGGAATGGAACAGAAGTCCTAAGCGACCAACATGTCCCATCTCTGGGTGTGAACTCTAGACATGGATTTTGGCTTCTTAGACATTGCAATGTTGCCTTTCAGGCCTGAGTCTCTAATCCCTCATACATGGACCATAAGGATAGGGCAGAAGGGTTGCTCCACTCTCCAACCATTCAAGGCTGAAAAGGTTTTGGGTTGCCATGGCTACTGTGAGCCCTTATAAGCATCTAGGTGGATGGATGATTTGGATTTTTATCCTGGAGCCAGCTGAGGCTACAGGAGTGCCACCTTCCCAAGAGATGCTCTGCTGCAGAGGCCTGTACAGCTTGGTTGCCATGATGAAAAGGTGGGGAGAATTCATCAAGGTCCTCACCTTAGCTATGATCATAAAACTCCTTATCTCCAAGTGGGGGAATAAAAAAGCACAGGTTGTTCATTAGCAACAAATGTTTTAAAAGTTAAAAGGCAGGGATAATTGTGGACTTAAAGTAGGTGAATCTGTAACCAAGACAATCCCACAAAGAGATACATTTTCAGTGTGACACTGGCTTTACGGACCTGGGGAGGCGGCTCCTGACATCTGCCCACAAGTAGAACATTACTGGGAACATGATACAGTCATCCCAGCAGAAAGAATCCTACTGAAGTCACTTTCCTAAGCCTTAAGTATTTGCAGTAAATTCACTCAACAAAGTCTTCAGTGCCTTTAGTTAAGTTACTTATTCACACAAACTAGATTGAAAAGAAAGAGAGTAGAGAGATACAATGGGAAGGAACATGGACTTTGAGCATGTGGTATCTCCCTTGCAATCCTGGTTTGCAGCTGGGTCAACTTCGGCAAGTTTCTGTATCTCCTCTGTGCCTTGATTGCTTCCTTTGTGAAACAGACATGAGAATGCCTGCTTGCATACCTGATAGATACACCTGGGAGATAAAAAGGGACTGATTCTGTGAACGGCACAGGATGACACCAAGTGTATCGTAAGCACTGGACACATGGCAATTATAGATGCAGCGTTGAAAATGCCCCAGTGTATATGTAACGATGTCTCTTGCATCTGTTCATTGGCTCCCACAGCAACTCGAGGTGGGAGGGGACAGGGCGGGGGCGGGGAGACTAGTCAGCCTATTTCATAGTGTGGAACTGAGATGTGAGCCATGCCATCTGCTGGGAGAGGGAGGCTGCTAGGGAGTAGCCAGTGCTCTACTTTGATTGAAAGTGGCTTACTAGAGTCTGGTCATCCAGGTCCTCCACCCAGTGTCAATTTCAACTACTAATGATTGGCTGTTGGGAAATCAGTTCAGTTGGGAATGACTGCTCAGCCTGCAGGAGCACTATACTCCAAATATATTTTTAAAAGGTAAATTTTTGTGCACACGCACACGCCCACACGTGCGTGCATGTGCGCGCGCGCACGCACGCGCGCGCACACACACACACACACACAGGTGTGTGTGTGTATGTATATGCATAGAATTATTATAAAAGTCTTAAATGGTGATCTCACAGAAATTTTAGAACATGTCAGATTTTATGAATAACATCTTCACCCATAGAATAGTATCCACAAACATGTAGATCCACCCTACTTTTGTATCAGACGGCTACCACCAGTGATACCATGAGTGAGAAATCTGGATGCAGCAATGTTTAAGAACAGGGAAGTGGATGAGAACCAGAAAATTTTGTTTCACACTAAGGAGCTCCTTACTGCAACAGAACACCAACAAAGGCCTGCTGTGGAAGGGTGTGCACAGAGGGCATCTATTTTTTAAACATCAAAACTAATAAACAGGGCCAGTGAGATGACTCAGCAAGTAAAGGAACTTGTTACCAAGCTTGAGGACCTGAGCTTGATCCTCCAAACCCACATGGCAGAAGGAGAGAAGCAACTCCACAGAGTAACCCTCTGACTTGCACACACATGCTATGGTCCTCAAGCGCCTCTATAAAAAAAATAAATAAATGAATGTAATGAAAGACTCAAATAATGGCAGAAATTTTTTAACCAATACCAAAAGACATATGTAAATCAGTTCTTCTTTGGAAAAAAAAAGCTGTGAACTCAATAGAAAAATGAGTGAGTCTAGCCATATAATTTATAGGGAATGAGTTTTGATAAACCCTAGAAAGAGTTCTAATTTCATTAGTATCCATATATATCAGGAATGGTGTCATATGAAATGAGATCTGGTGCTTGCCCACATAGTTAGCCAGCATACTTTGCTTTTGAAGGTCCATCCTGAATACCAGTGAGCACTCAGGGACCTAGAAGACGCTAGTTGATGCTGACCTTCAGAAAAACAATGTCCCAAATGAATTATGATTTCCCAAAAGGCTGGCATCCTTTAACCCTGTAATATCAAACATGGGAATCAAGTCTAAAAGAAACAACCAGAAGCTGGCCAAGAGGCTGGGGCAGGGGCCGAGTGTTGTTTTGCTTGCTGGTCTGCTGGGCGAGTATGTGTGTGTGTGTGTGTGTGTGTGTGTGTGTGTGTGTGTGTGTGTGTTTGCCATGGTTTTTCCTCATATCCCAAGATGGCTTCATACTCATGGTGGAGCCCATGAGTATTCATAGTGTTCCTTCTACCTTGGTCTCCTGAGTGCTGGATTTCCCAGCCTGCGCTGTCATCATTGATGCAGAAACATTTTTCAGAACAAAATAATGGAAAACTAAGGTGTTTGGGTTCATGTATCTACAACCCAATGTAACCCCATCACTGGAGAAGCTGAGGCAATAGAATCTAAAGTTTGAGGCTAGTCTGGGCTACAAAGCCAGCCCAGGCTACATAGTAAGACTATTTAAAAGATTTTTTTTCATTTATGAGTTTGGGAGACGGCTCAGCAGGTAAAGTTCTTGCTATGAAAACATGGGTTTGGATCTCTAGAACAATCTAAAAAGCCAGCTGTGGCTGCATGTGTTTGCAAGTCTGGGGCTAGGAAGGCAGAGGCAGGCAGATCCTGGGGGACTTCGGCCAGTGAGCAAGCTCCAGCCCTGCCATAAAAAAACAAACAAACAAACAAACAAACAAAAAACAAAAAAAAACAGATGGAGAAATAATAGAGAAAGACTTTCCATTGTCACATTGTCAGCCTCTGAACGCTACATGTGTCTGCTAGGCACTCGCAGTGGAGAGGGAGAGAGGGAAGTAGGGGGAGGAGGAGGGAAGGAGAGAGAGATCAATGATAAGAAAATGGTGACAGTTTTTCTATTATCATCCAGAAAAATTCTCCAGAAATTAAAATATGAATTTGAAAATTTTAAGCATTTATCATATTCATTTATAGTTAAGTCCTTATATATTGAAGTGTATTATACAGAAAACAATCTCCGCAAAACATCGAGAATACGATGGCGAGCATTACATCCAATTTCTTTTCCAAAGCTGTCTACAATCACTGGTGGATGGGAGTCACTTCTCTTTGCTTCCCTTCCCCCTTACAAATAGTATGGATTGTGGGGGATGGAACCAGGGCATTGGGGCTGAGAACAAACTTTATCTCATGACCCTGAATGTATCCGCTTTTTCCAAGTATTTTTCACATCTGCAGAGTCACCACATACATATATTCCAGACCAGCAAAAAAAAAAAAAAAAAAAAAAAAAAAAAGAGGTCAGTGTTCCCAGAGAAGACAAGGGTAAAGTAACAGGGGGTCAATAGGGAGAGAGAGAGAGAGAGAGCAACTCCCTCACAAAACCAATGATGTAAACAGAAGGTCCAGAAGGTCCACACATCTTTCCAGACCCTTCTATGCTCTTGGGCTGTGTGGATAAAGGAACTGGCTGACATCTGGTAGTATGTCAGCTCACAGCTAACACTTTACACTGAGTGTGGGGGCCTTGAAGTTTAGCTCCTAGGGACAGCACAGTGTGATCTATTTTTTACAAGTCCTTTTCATTGGTCTTACTGTCAAGGTTGAACCGAGAGTCACAGATATGCTAGGCAGTAGTCCCAGACCCTGAAACAATGTCTCACTAAGTTGCCCAAGTTGGCTTTTGAACTTGCTCTACAGCCCAGGCTGTCATGAACTTCCTGCCCTCCTGTCTTAGCCTCCTGAGTAGCTAGGCCTGAAGCTCTAGGGCAGGAAGCAGTTCCTTGGTCTTTGTCCGTGTTCCTTGTACATCCCCAGAGGCTTAGCCTCTCTCTGGTACATGGTTAATATATTTACACAAGCATCATTCAGACTCATTGCTATCCTGTCATTTGATATCTAGAAATCTAAATCGTCCTGACCAAAGCCATCTACCCTACCCTCAACATGGGTACAAACCAAGCTTTCAGCTGTCCCTTGGTCTTCTACACAACAGACTTCTCCTTCCCCCTGCTTTGGAGGTCTTGGGCTGGAAGGGGCTTCTTCTTCAGAAGAGGAACTCTCTGGGTACATCATGGTGACCTCCCTCTCCGCATGCAAGACCCCACTGTTCTTGGCTTTGATGCACTTGAGTTCTCTACTTGGAAATTCTTCTTCTGAGCCCTTCTGAGACTCCTGTGAGCAGTTGCCCAGAGATGATGCTCTGGAGGAGTCTGCTGTGTGGTGAGGCTGGGGTCCTGGCCTTCTATGGCAGTTGTGGAGCCTCCCCTCTTGGTCTAGGCTGATGTTTTCAGAAACAGTCCTCCCCTGCCTCTCTCCTGAACTACCACAAGGGTCATTCTCCTTTTTGTGTTGATTTTCTCCTTCTACCTCTGACTGTCTTTCTCTGGAAGTGTCCTGAGTCTCCACAGAGTGACCATCATCACCCTGTCTTCCTGAAGCCTCCCAATCGTCTCCATCTCTAAATCTCTGGTGAGGGGTTTCTTCCTCAGCCACACTCTCCTTTAACTGCTGGTTTTCTTGTGCAGCACTGACATGGATTTTCCCTCCCCTTGAAGTGGCCGCATCTTCTTCTGACACAGGGCAACCAGCTCCTTCTACTTTCAAGAACTCAGGGTCCTCCTCTCCTCTCAACCTCTGCCTCCCTTCCCCTTCCTCATCTACCACAGGCCCCGGGGCCAACCTCAGCTCCTCCTCCCAATGAGTTCCCTGTACAGTTTTAGGGTCCTCCTGAGGCAACATCATCCCTGACTTCTGGGGGACCACCTCCATGGCCTCTCCTTTCTTGCTCTGTAGAATTTGCTGTAGGTCGAAGGCCTTTCTGACTGGTGCACTGGAAACGGCTGTGGCACCCTTTGGGAATCTAGGGGTCATCTTCTTCTTTAGGCAGACTTCACAGGGACAGAACTCATCTCCCTCAGCCCCCACACCTGGCCTGGTCCCTAAGGCTGTGCTGAGAGTGGCCCCATCCTCCAGGGTGAGAGAGAGGGCGCCCTGGCCAGGGAAGGCTGAGAAGTTTCGCAGGCCCTGAAGGCGACGCCTGCGCAGTGCTGTCTGTAGCGATGTCTGCCCTCTGAGGGCTTCCCGTGGGGGTTCTGGGACCATCCTCCCTGCCCGGCTCTGGATCTTCCTTACTTCCCTAACAGTGCTTGCTTGAAGCCGTCGGCCCACATCCTGCTCTAGCTCGGTCACCATCTGATCCAGCAGGCTGTTGTCCTGAAGGTTCCATCGGGCTCGGAGTTCAGTTGTGGCACTAGCCAGGTGAGCCATGAAGTCTTTCTCTACCTTATTCAGCAGCTTGGACACCCAGACTGGGTCAGGGTCCAGAGATCTCCTGTGGTCCGTGGATGTGTTTGTCTCCCTGGTTCCTGAGCTGGCCTTGATACAGGCTTGCGCGCAGCCCATTGCAGCCACTGTGGACATCCCTTCCAACCCCGACTCCAAAATGTTAAGACTTTGACCCTCACTAACATTTGAGTGGCTCTTACTGAAGTGGCAAGGGGACTCTGTGGGTTCCTCTCTCCCATCTAGGCACCACAGTCCTTCTGAGGCAGTTTCTCTTCCTGATTCATCATTTAACACTCTAGTGTCTTCTGGTGAGTTCTCCCCATCCCGAGAGCCACCTGGAAACATTTCCTGGCTGCAGACTCCAGCCCTTTCTTCTAGAAGCCCTTTCCCACGGACTCCATCTTCCGGTAGCCTCTCTCTTGCACTCCCTTCTGTCTCCTCTTCCACCACCGTGCTTTCAATGGATTGTTCTGGAGTGTTGCTCCACTTTGTCATCCTGCCCCCTTTACCTGACTCCTCCCCACTGGTGGCACAAGCCCACACCTGGGAGCCAGATGAGGCTGTGGAATGACTCAGTGCTTCTGGGTATACCTGGTTCCTGGAATCAGGTCTTTGAGAGGAGATTTTCAAGGGTAAGTCTACCCTGTGGGGAGCCAGGGTGTTGTCCATGGCACAGGGCACACTGCCCTCACCCGAGCCTCCGGAGCCACTGCTGACATCCACACCAGAGGAGGAGGTGGGTGTGAAATCCTCAGTACCCAGCACAGCCTGGTGTGAAGAGAACTTCCTGAAGCCTATGTCCAGATGGCCTTGCCCAAGCTCACTCCCAGGCCACAAGGCCTGGGAGATGCTTAGCATCTCCTTGTAGTTAGGGGACTCTTCAAGCCTGGTATTGCCATCAAAGAAACGGAGCCTGGCAAGGCAGGCAATGAGGGCCCCGGCAGAGTAGCTGAGCCTTTGGGCTACTGTGCTAGAGATCTCTGGTAGACTGCTGGGCCGGTCTGGCTTGGAGCCCAGCAGGGCCTTCATGATCTGTGTGGAGGCTGAGACCCTGCTGGGGAGTGCATATAGGCTCACTCCATGGTCCACAGTGGTTTCTTCTCCTATTCCAGCTTCTGCAGGGGATTTGACTCCTTCACCTGATGCTGCACCATGATGGGAGTCACTTCTCGGTTTGCAGGTCACAGAACCAGACCCTGGGAGGTCTCCTGCCAGCTCTGGATGCTCATCAGTGACCCCTTCTGGGGGCTGCTGTCTGGCCTGAGCAAATTCCCTCAGGACTTTCAAAGAACAGTCATCACCAAGAGCCTCCTTGGCACTTTCTGGGTCATCACTGGCCACCTCTGTGGTCTCACCTTCCATCTCACATGTCATGAGTGCCGGCTTTTCTGGGATGTTTCCTAGCCACTCACGAACCACAGCATCTGGAGAGGTGTAGGGCAGAGCACTGGGTGTCAAACCATCCTCTTCCTGCTGCTCCAGGCTTCCCCTGGTACTGGGGGACTTCCCCAGCAGAGTCTTCCCGGGCTCAGCATGGCCACCAGCTTGACTGTGGTCACTGCTGAGACCACTGCTGCTTGTGGGATCCTTTCTGGAACATGTTTGCTCCTGGGGGGCAGTTGGGCAGAAGCTGCTGGCCCCCCAGCGGGCCTCAGAGATGGAGGCCTGGGTTTGACCACTGGGGCCCGTGAGGGCAGAGGCCCCAGCCTGTGAACAGCAGCAATCTTGGTGGGTTCCTGGGTCTTCTGCCTCAGGCCATCTGTCCAGCAAAACAGAGGACGAGAAAGGCTCAGGAGTGGTCCCTGCCGCTTCCCACAGGCAGCCTACCTCTTCTTTGTGAACAGGTGTGGGAGCTGGAGGGTGAGCTTGGCTCTCAGTGTCCCCTACTGGCTCTGCAGAGCAAGTGTGATGGTAAAAGCTGGAAGTACAGTCCGAGTCACTGGTGGGTATGATGGTGGTTTGGCTGGTGGCTTGTGGGTCTTGAAAGTCAAGAGACCTAGAGAATGGTGATCTAAGATGCCCGAAGGCCTGGGTCCCAGCACTGGGTGAGTAAGCCTTTTCTCCTTCCTGAGGCATTGGCATTTGCAAGGCTGTGTCCAGTGAGGGTTGAATGTCCCTACAATAATGACATTGCCTGGCATGGCCTTTCTGAGCCCCTTGGTAAGGGACAGAGACATTGGGCAAGTATGCAACACCAGCTAGCCCCTTCTGCCTTTTCTGCCTCCGTTGGGCTGGGGCGCTGGCAGGAGCTGGGAGAGCACCTCTCTGTGTGTCCTGAGAGCCAGAATGGCTTGGAACCAGGGGCAGTCTCAGCTCAGGCTCACCTCCGGCCTCCTGACACCTGGTGCTCCATTTACACTTCTCTGTCTGACAGTCCATGTGGCTCAAAGATAAGAGGCTCTGGGTGGAAACACAGGACCTGTCACCTTGGATGGCTTTCCCCTGGGACACCATGACCCTTGCCTGGCTTGAGCCTCTGTGGTTCTGGTCAGCATACTCACTGGACCCCTCATGAGACTCAGCACTGACTGATGTATCAGAAAGGGCCCTTTCTATACCTTGAGTCTCAGGTCCCAAGCCCCAGGGTCCTGTGTCCACTAGGCAGGGGCCCTTCCCAGCTTCTAGCTCAGCCCCACTTGGGGAAGAAGCTGAAGAAACTGGGTGCAAGGTGTCGCTGTCTGTCTCACCTTCTGGAGTCCAGGGACAGCAGGAGCCTGGCTGGGCACTTCTAGGGTGCCTGGAACTTGACACTGGGCTGGCACAATAGTTGCCATGTCCTTTCCTATCATTGGCCCCCTGGCTGCAGTGGCTCCTGCATCCAGAAAGCTTAGACAGCCCCCACCTCCTCCTCTGAGTTGGACCTGTACCCCCAGGGGTGGTAAAGGGGTTCCTCCAAATGTCATAGTTGGGCTGTGATTCCTGGTCCAAATCAAAGACTCGCTGGTATCCTCCATCACAGGGACCCAGTCCCTGTGCTCCATGTGCCAAGAACCCCCAAGGGTGACCCTCTTGTCTGCAGCAGAAGGGATCAGCCTCCCTCAGGACCTGGCCCTCCCCATTGGCTGGGGTGAAGACACTGGCATGCCCCACCCTCTGTGACCACCGCAGGGTATCCTCGCCCAGAAGCTGGAAGCGGACTTTCATCTCCACAGACAGGCTGCCATCCTCATTCATGCAGACCTTCTTCTCCACGTCATCAGCAGCCACCAGGGAGCCAGGTGGGGCAGGTGTGTCCTGAGGGCACCTGTCCAAAGCAGGCCCTGCCCAGGCTTGAAGACCCGGTGCCGGATGGTCACTGAGACCAGGTCTCTCTGACATCAAGGACAACTGGCACAGCCTGCTGCCAGACCCAGCCCTCGAGTGCATCACACTCTGTTTGGCGTTTGGTCCCCAGAAACCTATTGCACAGCAGAGCAAGAGAAATGAGAACAAGGCATTGAGTTACTGGAGAAAACAACAGCAGAGAGACCTGTGGGTGCTACAGAACACTAAGAAGGAACTGAGTGTAAATCCAACCCAAAAGCCACCAGCTACCCGCTCTTTCTAGATCTGCAACTCATAGGCACACTGCTTCATTACAGGTAGCCAGGCATATAGTACTTGCTGCATATCAAGTTGGTACACAGAAAGCTTCTTGCACAGAACATTCACTGTACATTAATGCTTGCTGAATAGGCACCAGCAGAATCAGGGTCTGGAGGGATTGTGGCATTGCAGGTGGAAACACACCATGGGAATTCATTGACCTGGTACAGGAGGCAAGTTCAAGCCATTGCCCATGATCTGACCATAAACTGTAAGTGGATATCATGGTGATCCACCTCACAATGGCCAAGCTCTTGGACTGAAGGAAGAGCTCCAGGAGACACACTATGTCAGTTCTTGATAGTCTAGGCTGCCCCATAGGCAGAAAGGGGGCGGGGCGCCCTCAGGTGATAGAAAGTAGCCCTAGGGAAGATGGAGTCCTGAGTGCTTCTCATTTCATCTCCTGGACTATGCTTGGTGGGATGCACCTATGTCCATCAGGACAGACCTCATGACCATATCTGGACAGGGGAAGCATCAAGCAGGCCTGGTGGCTCCTCTAGTATGCTCCCAGACATTGTCTTTGTGTCCCAGCCACTGGTATGCCATAGTTGCTGGCACTGTTGCTGGTCATTTTCTTGATGGAGTCCCACAAAGGATAGCCCTTTGTTTATTCAACAAACTCCATTATCAGTTTAGTAGTTTGGCTGTAATTTTATTCTGCATTTGTGAACTGTGCCTTCCAAAGAATGTATATTTTATTGACAAAGCCTAGACCCTGGACCACTGTGGCCCACGTCATGGTGTGTTTTAAACGTTGTAAACGGCTTAGACCACCACTACTGCCTAAGACAGTCATGACTCTGAAGGACTCGAAGCTACCTATACTCACAGGCCTCAGCACCTCTGTGACAACATGCCCACCGAGAATCTTAATTGGTTATTTTAGGCCCTAGAAACATTGAGCTCAAACTTCCCTGGGTCAAAGTCTACACTGATCTCAGGTGCCTGCAGAACGCTCTGCTGAGTTAAGGCTGATGGAAGAAGGAAGAAGCAAGAGAGAACCTTGGAGTGGCTGCAAGACCTAGGAACTGGGCCAAAGCACCTTTCCCATGGATCTGGAAGTGATAACAACCAAGACCATGGAGTCACTGTCCCCTTTGAAAGGAGCCATGGAGGCCCAGGATCTACTCACCATGTCCACTCCTTGCAGTCACACCAGATAAGGTTCTGGTCCTGGTCCCTCCAACATTTTCTATCTCCAGACGTCTGAAGGCCTCGTTCCCAGCACACACCAGCAGGGAGGGACCATCCAGGAGTGTCTGCAGAGAGTCCACCTACAGGAGGTGAACATGGATTTGGGATTTGGTTGACTCTTACAGAAGGAACAATGGCTAGATTGAGCCTAGGGATTCCATCTGAGAGTCAAGAACTCAGGAGGATCAAGATTGGAGGGTTGGTGGCAAGGAAGACTAGAGAAGCAGGTCCCAAAGTCTCCCTCACAACTGGCTGATGGGTAAGGGCATGCTTGTCATTGGTGAGTGGTCACCAAAAGGTGATTATTGCATGGACAGATTGGCCTGCTCAGTGGGTACCAGACACCTGGTGGGAAGCTAATCAAACCAAACCCCTCTGACACCACTGCTATTATATAATGAGGACATCTCTGTTGGGGACAGTTTGTACTCACTGGAATGGAGTAGACTTTTGTTTTGGTTAAAGATGGCCCTCATCCATTCTCTTTTAGCTTCACCATCATGGGCTTACAGAATGTCAGCGTAACACTGATACAACCCAGGAAGATGGCTGATATCACAGCAGAAGTAGGTTGACACAATAGAAATTACTGTGTACATCTTTGATCTTAGCATTCAAGAAGCAGAGACAGGTGGATATCTGTGAATTCTAGACCAGCCTGGAATGCATTGTGAGTTCCAGGTCAGCCAGGGCTACATAGTGAGTCCCTATCTCAAAACAAACAATAAGATTCACTTTGTAACTGTATGCTCATAATGATGAATGGTAGGATAGATATTCTCTGGAAGATTCCACACGGGAACCAGCTGGCAGGCACCCCTTTATGGACCACAGACACTTGAGGATGAGAGTGACTCTTTTTCTCACTAGAAGACAGACATCATGGCATGGAGATGATGTGGCTTGGGACAGTAAGTAAGTATGACGCTTTTGTTTTGTTTCTTGAGGCTACCCTAGACTCTCTGTGTAGCCCAGGTCTCCTGCCTTCCTGAGAGCTGGGATTCCAGGCATGCATCACCACACCTGGTTGGTTAGTAAATACAGTTCTGACTATAGGAGGCCCCAGCACTAAATAGATACAGGCCCAGATTATGGGGAGATGGAACTAGATCAGCCTAGCTTGGTTTCCCAAAATACCCACTTTTGTCAGAGATTCATGTTCTGCAGGACCTGGAAAGGTACACTTACTAGCCTTTACATTAGGATTGAGTGCAGGCTGTATTCTCCCTGCTCTGGACGCCTTTGAGCAAGACTGAGAAGGAAGCTGTTCTGTAGACACCACCTCATCCCACTGTGGCTGGTGTTGCTGTGTGCATGTAAGAATCAGGTGATGACAGCCGAGGTGCCCATGACAGACTCTTCCCTCCAGTAGTCCTGGTAGTTGAGATGCAGCTGTGCTCACTGAGCTTCCCAAGCTTGGCTGTCAGCCCCTCCAATGTGTTCTTGAACTCAACATTCACAGTACTTTCAGCAAAGGCAGGAGCTACTTACAGAATGTGGTGAGCCATCTCTGTAGACCTAGCCCCAATCCCACACTCCAGTTTTCCAGACCTGCCTCCTGATGTCCTGCACTAAATCTCTCAATGCTCAAGGTACCCTGAGTGATCTGTTTCCTGCCCTAAACTGACATGGGAATACACTGTTGAGAGGACGGCATAACAAATGTGGAGCACATGCAATGCTTAGAGCCTGCTGTGTGCTAAGTGCTTACTAAATGGGAGCTATGAGTAGGGTGCTGTGCGTGTGTGTGTGTGTGTGTGTGTGTGTGAGAGAGAGAGAGAGAGAGAGAGAGAGAGAGAGAGAGAGAGAGAGAGAGAGAGAGAGAGATTGATTCTGACTCAGGTCCTCATGCTGGTCAGCAAGCACTTTACCAATTGAGCCATCTCCTCCCCCTCCCCCAAGCCCGATGATGGTTATTTGGTTAACAAATTTGACCCAATGTCTCCACACTCTTCACTTTTAATTAGTAGTGGGCAATCACGGATGCCTTCCTAGCCCAACTGTGTATTTTGACCCAGGGTCCAAAGGTAATGCCTGCCCCCCTCCACCCCCAGCCTACCTTCTTCCCGCTGATTGTGTACACCTGCTTCACCGGAAAGCACAGAAGCTCGGAGGCTTTGACGAGGAAGGCCTTCAGGCTCCTGATGTTCCTGTGACTTAGAACCACTGTCTGCTGGCATCTAGGATCCCCATTCTTCACCAGTGTCAGCCTCCGTGGAGCCATGAGACCCTTCCAGGAAGAGGATGTTCGTGGAGCTTCATGGCCACCTTCAAACCCCCGTGACTGCCCAGCAGAGGGGCTTTTCCTTTGTAGCCGGCCTGGCTCTCGGGGAGTTTTAGGGGGCTTCTTATCGGAGCAGAGGTAGCAGCCCCCATCTTGCAGCTGCTCCAGGGTACTGAGGCCATGTAAGCCCCGGGGTGTGGTGACAGAGCGCACCCCGAAGGAAAGAGGCATGCGCTGAGACAGTTCATCCATTAGGGCGCTGAAGGTCTTGAAAGTTCGCTGGTGAACAGCCAGGCGGACCCCAGCAAATTGGGGATCCCCCCGCTTAAGGAAGGTTATCTTCTTAGCTGGTGTCACCTCAGTGACAGAGGGAGTGTGAGCCACAGAGGGCAGAAGACACTGCCGGTGGCTTGGGGCAGGAGCATCCCTCATGTCTCCTGGGGTGCTGTTCATGTTGTGGCGACCCAGACAGCTATATGAGAGAAGGAAGAGAGGCTCAGAGGGCAAGTCATAGATTAGGGCTGTCTACTCTCTTCCCTTCATTATGGAGGTGCTTCCTGACACCCCAGATTAGGTCCATCCAGCTGTGTAGAGACAGTTTGATCCATCTGAGTTAAAAGGCAAAGTTTTAACATTGGATAGACCAATGCCAACTCCTACATCCCCCATTTTCTATCCATACAACCTGGGAGGACAATGACTTAGTTCCATCTGTAGAATTCAGCTTAGTCTGGATAGTGGTAATAGTAAGCAAATCAATTTATACATCTGAAGCACTTAACATAGAGCAATGGTCAAAAGTCTTTCTTCTCTTCCATCCTCTAGCTGTTTCTATTACCCTCATCTGCCAACATGCAACCCGCCCCCACAGCCCTGCTGAATGTCCTCTTCTAAAAATGTAGGTAGATGGAACAAAGAGTGATGCAGGTAGAATGCTAGACAGGGAGTCAAGATCTCTGGGAAGCCGGCTTCCCTCTCCCGCTGTCTCCCCCATCCACCCTGGGGAGCTGTCTCTCTGGACTGCGTTCCTCCAGCTGTCAGGAGGACTGGGGTTCAAGGACTGGTTCCATACCCTCTAGGGACAGGGAATCAGACAAGGAGACTCGAAGCCCTTGTCTGTATCACCTGAAGCATCACTTCATATCCCATGTTCTCTTCACTAGATAGTTGTTTGCATTGGTATTGAAAAGTAAGTTATGGGGCTAGCAAGATGGCTCAGTGGATAAAGGTGCTTGCTGCTAAGACTGATGACCCAAGCTCGATCTCTGGAACCCACGTGGGAGGAGAGAACAAACTCCCATAAGTTATTCTCTGACCCTTATGGGTGGTTGTACGTACACACACACACACACACACACACACACACACACACACACACACACACGCATGCACGCACACGAAATGTTTTAAAAATGCAGGTTTTTAAAGCTATGCTTAAGGTTCACCTAAAGTCTTGTCTATGGGTAGTTATCAGCTTGCTGCCACCAACAGGCACAGACCTGTCCCCACTGTCCATTTCCATTCCCACTATCCTGGGTTGTGCAGCCCTGTCTCTTCCCACGGGACACTTGCAAAACCCTTTCAGTCTGCCTCTCCTGACCCAGGTCACCACATTCCCCTCTGCCTATGGCAGCCAGGTTGCTCTGAAACCCAGCTTCTTTTTGTGTCCCCAAACTTACCTGGCTCTCCGGATCTGTAGAAAAAGTCTTTGCCTTTACTCCACTACTCAAACCCCTGTTGACTCTGTGAGCCTGGCCTCTTGTCACTGAAGGACTCTAAGGTTCTCCTGTGAGGTGGCCCTGTCCTTCTGCACCCCACTGTGGCTGTCTTTGTTGAGACCTCTCCAACTCCCATAACATCTCCGGCAGCTCCTACCCTCCAGGCCACGCCTTTTCTAGTTTAGCCCACCTGGGAAGCAGAACCCGTGCTCTCCAGGGCACCCAGCCTCATGCCTGAGAAATAAAGGTGCATTGATAACTCAGACCCTCATAGAGCTTCCTGCCGAGGCTGGATCTGAGCTGATCACAAAGGGCTTCCTTAATATACATGGGGGGGGCTACCAGGGCCACAACTCACCTCCCTGGCACTGCTCTTCATTTAGCCCCATTTGTTGAACAGAAAAGAACTCTCCTCACATTTTCAAAAGCATGGGGCACAAAAGGGCCTTGTAATCCTCTCATCTCTGGACAGTTGTATAATTAGCTCCCTACGCCTCCTCTTTGCTAGCTAATCCCCCCGCAAGCTGTTCCCATTAGCCCTCCAGCCTACGTTACTACAGCTCCAGAAACAGTTATTCCCCAGTGCCTGCCCGCGGGGGCCATTTGTCCCTCCTGATGTTCATTTTCATTCACATGACAGTCTTTGCTGACAATGCCAGAGAGGAAGGAAGCACCATACTTTCCCCATCACTACCATGGACGTGGGCATCATCATGTCCAACACAACAGTATATCCCTGTAATCATCATGTCTACTGGGAACATCATGTCTATCATGCCCCACAGCGTCACTATGTCCCAGAGATACACTCCATCCCAAATATCATATTCTCCAGCATCACTGCGTCCTGCAGTGTCTCTCCAACATAACCATCTCCTTGATTGGCAGCATCAGGTCCTCAGCACCACTGTGGCCCTCAGTATCACCATGAACTCTAGCATCCCCAGCAGATGGGACTCCTGCCCCTGTCGCCCTGTTTGCACAGGGGGCAATGGAACAGCAACTTAGCAAGATACCCCAAAATGCATAAATCTAAAGCAAAGACCTCCTTGGTTCCTCCAAGACCCAATTAGAAATGCAACATCACAACCCAAGGTCCTGACAACCCCAGGATTTTCACATCCTTCTAGACTATAACTGCTCTCTGAATTGGGATTTCTGGTCACCAAACAGGCTTTGTGACCTGTGGGATCCTAAGTGCCAAAGCAGAGCTGGCACTTCCCAACTCTTCTCCCAGTGAGTGCCGGGCATTGGTGTGTGACAGCATTATGTAGATCACTGCATACACCTTCATCCTGACATCTATCAGCACACACACCCTCACACCACCCATACACATGGACCAGGGTCCCATTCATGCCCTCAGATACACTCAAGCATACTTTTGTGGGTCTCACACACACACACACACACACACACACTACACATATGTGTGCCCACATACAAACACTTTAGAAGAAAATCTCAGTCCTAAAAGAAGGAGCTGGAGGAACAGGGATGCCTGGCTGGGATCTTTGAAGGGGAGGCATTACAGGAAGAGGTGGCACTGATTTCCCTGTCTGGGAAGGTGAACCCTGGGTTTTGTGGGAGTCACCTACAAGCCGAACTTGTAGCCACGAGATGGGAGTCAAAACAAGGAAGAGTCCCTTCGTTGACGAAGTCTAACAGATTTTGATCCCTTCATCTTCAAGTCCCTCTGGTGTCACCTGACTGTTTGCTCACTCATATTCACCAAGGATTTCTGAACATCTGCTGTTCTTACCTGTATATTGGATTACAGGAACACAAAGTCTAAAATGCTGTGGCACCCACCTTCAAGGCCTGTACACACTCTTGTGTCCAGTAGACACACACTTGTATCCACTATAGCTAAAGCTTTTTGTCTCTGTGGTCCCATAACCCAGTGGGCAGCCCAATACAATGAGTGCTATGATACTTTTGGTGAATGAATGAATGAATGAATGAATGGAAAAAAGCAAATGATTGTGAATGGGAAGAACTCAAATGGTCCTTGAACATGAACTGTTCAGTAACAAGAACCAGAAACTCTCCCTTGGTGGGTATGAGTCGGGGTGTAGGTCATGGCATTTAAGCCCTACAAAGAGCAGCAGCAGCAGCAGAAAGTACCCTCATTTCACTGGACACAGAAGCTAAAGCTGAACTAGGAAAGAGCCTGGGCTGCAAGGTGGGCTAAGGCCCCTGTTAGATCACCAAGGTTCCCCATGCACCATAGGTGTATAAACCCTGTCTCCTGTAGGCAGATCTTCAGAGTGAGGCAAAGAATCAGGCTCTGGCCAATGCTGAGCAGGGTGCATCTTGATTTACCCTCCTATTTCCCTCCTTTCTTGGTCTTTATCCTCCCTCCAGAAGGAGCCTTGAGATGTCTTGCCCTTCTTCACCAGCCAAGCTCAGGCTGGTCCAGGTGGGATGCCATGCACCTGTGGGCATCATGAACCAGGAGCCCACAATCACAGAACCATCTATAGAACCTACAATCTCATTCCCCTGACGTTTACATTCCAGAGAAGATGGATGGTAAGATGGTGTGGTTCCCAGCACCGCTGTCCTCCCGGTCAGGTGGTCACATGGGTAGAACAGTATAGGGTACAACCAGGAAAGGGGCAGGACCCCATGAGGCAATGCTGGGACCAGTTGCTTACAAGGAGCTGTCCCTTAGTTTTCTAAGCACCTGGAGGGGCCCCACCCCCCGGGGTGGAGACAGGGCCACCTGGGAGTCAGCATTTTGCTGGAAGTCTTTAACAAATAATCCTAGTAGCACAGAGTCTGTGTGGCCCCACTGCTGATGGTGGAGTATCCCAGGGAACCCCTGGGCCTGAGGACACAGAGTCTGCCTTGAGGGGTGGAGTCAGGAAGGATGGAGAAGGCGGAAGGGTGCGGGGATTTCAGGGGAAGTGAACAGAAAACAGAGGCTTCCAGCTTGGGGGTGGAGAGGTGGATCGGAGAAAAAACAGATTAAGGGAGAAAAAATAGAAACCACAGGAAATACTCAAAAAGGTGACAGACCAATGGAGGAATTGGGCTGGGTGGGCCCTGGGGGCCTGGGGGCCTGGGGGAGGAAGCAGTTTAGCTGGCCAGAGACCTGGAAGTGGGCTCTGCCGAGGGAGAGGCTGGGGCCAGTGAACAAGTAAGATAAGTAGATTCAGGAAAAGAGTAAATATGGTGAGAGGAGTCAGCAGGCAGAGAAAGGGACAATGACATCACTGCCAGACCTAAAGGGGATGGGCAGGAGGGAGATGACATACTGGAGGCCTTGAACAGCTGAGGAGTTTACACACAGATGCCAAGAACTGTAGGTAAAAGAGTACATGGCTCCCAGAGGTGGCAAGAACCACAGACAGTCGCTTAGCAGGGAATTAAGTCCTACTTGTGGGTCCCAATTGCTAGATGGGGTCTGAATGGGCCATAAAGGGGCATATGATCATTTTAGCATAGCCTTCCAGGGGCTCAACTCCACCATAACTACAAGGAATTTGATATAACTTTATGATCTTCTAAGAAAGAAAGGAATAGAAATCTTGATGAGCTACAATGTAACATTAATAGCGAACTGCTTCTAAATTTCAGGAACATTAAAGTGTGGTGGGGAATCATATCTTTGTGTTGAAGGCGATGAACACATGATGGAATGTAAAGCGGTGTAGCCCCCAAGCACAGCAATGTGGCAGAGGATCGATAAATTGACTGTAGAATTAGCACAGATCCCAGCAATCGACA